GAGAATGTGGAGAAGATAGGAATTTTCTCAGTTGGAACAAGGGGGCTGAGGCTCTCATGGCTTTGCCAGGGGTGGAGTTTGGAGGGGACGTTTAGGTACACCCGAGGGAGCTGACTGGGGGTGTTTCCTGAGGCGGCAGGAAGGGTGAGAGGAAATAGTATCCTGGGCTGAGTTGGAGAAGGAGGAGGAGGTGGTCTTTGTTTAAGGGCATTGGCCGTATTGGATGACCACTGTAATGATTTTAGCAATTCATACGAGGGCCAGAACCTATCAGTAACCAGGGTTGAGCCCCAGCTACGTGACGGGGCATGACGGTGGACACGACTCCGCTATTTTCTGGTTAACGGACTGAAGACCTTGATTTAACAATAATTCTTTGCAATGAATAAGCGCCGTAAATCCATTCATTCACTCACTCAGTGATAGGCTGTCTGCTCCTTTGAATTTCCACAGCTTGTGGTAAATGCAAATCGGATTTAAAGTGCAAAACGAGCGTTGGGCTATTGATGCATTAATGTGGGTTCGGAGGCCTTGCCTGAATTAGCTCAGGTATTTCCCATCCCTCCACAGTAGGTAAGGAGCTGGATTAAAGGCCATAAGGAATCGCTTTCTGTTGCCTTCGTGGGAGGCCTCTGCCTCCAAGGACATCAGAGAAGCCCTCCCAGTCCCTGTAGGGGACAGGGGCCCCAGCATGAACATGATGCAACCAGCCCGGGGTCCAGGCCTGCGAGCCCTCACAGAGTTCTGGGGCCCTTTGGGACCTTGTGGTATCCGAGATCCTTCTGTGGGAGGCGTTTGTCGTCTCTTGGCCCGTGGGCGAGGGCAGCGCTCTGTGCCAGAAGGCCACAGAACCTGTGCTCAGGGCACCTGTGCTGCGGTAAGGAAGGGACAGGGTCAGCACTGGCCACGTGAGGTAGAGTTCAAGCCTGGACTCTACACAGGGCCACAGAAATGCCAAGTGGCGGCCTCTGTCTGCCTGACCTCGGGTGCTATTGGGATGGCTTCTCTGAGCCACACAGGCCAGAGCCCAGGGCCAGGGCGTGAGAGGTCGGAGGAAGCTGTGCTAGGCGAGGAGTGGATGCAGGAGTGGTGGCAGTCCCAGAGGGCAGTGTGGGGGTGTGATGTGGGCTTCCTTCCAGAAGGCAGCAGCTGCCATCCAGACGGTCTAAGGGCCACTGCAGTGACCACGCTGGCCACACTGTATTTTAGTTACACTGAATCATTTGGGGAATGATGACAAGGAAAGACCTGTATCTCTTCAATAAAGGTACAACTATTACCTGTATTTGATTGACAGAGTCTGAGATTGTTCTGTTTGTGGATTCTGAGCCCGTGGGTAGAGTTCCACTGTCCAAGATGGGTAACGGAGTCTTCCCCGCGAATCTAACACTCATTCAGCTAACAGTCTGGGCACTCTTGACTTAGACGTGTGCCTCCTCCTGCAGCCTCCTAGGAGGCTGTGCAGTCACACAGATGCCTGGTAGTCTGGTGCGACCCGGACCTTGGGAGGATGCTTGCTCAGGGCTGTGACGTTCTGGGGTACCACTCGCTTTGATAAGATCGACCCAAATTTTTCCATCCAGAAAAACTTCTGGAGCATTTGAAGGAAAACAGCAGAAACCTAGAGTTTGGACCTGGGCGGCCACATACCTGAGTGCGCACGCTTTGCGGAGGGGGTGAGGCTCACGCCCCAGCTGCACCCTGCGGCTGGCTGAGATGCAGCCGTGCCACGCCAGAAGCAGCCTGGCCTGAAGCTGGCGCCACCCGTGCAGCTGGGGCTCGCTCGCTAGCTCACCACGGCCTGTTGGAGAGCTGTGGGTCTGCAGGGTTTTCAGACCCATGTGCCCGGGTCCAGATGTGTTCTCCCTTTGCTGAAAGTCTCATATGTACTGTCAGGAGAACTGGAATGAAGTCCTTACCCTCCTGATTTTTTCTTCCACTTCTGTGCGGAGCTGTGTTAGCCCCACGCCTGTAGGTTTTGCTGGCCGTGGGACCAAGGCACTGACAGTGAAGCCAGCGTGCACTAAGCCAAATGTGCTTTCCGAAGTGCACCTTTTTGGAAATCCACCTGGTAACTATTGCGCACTGTCTGGCCTGGTGGATGTGCCTTCTCTGAGAAGGCAGCGTCATCTCAGTGAGTGTGCGGGGCCGAGCTGGAGGTCTAAGAGGCCAGAGAAGCTTGGACCAGTCACTGCAGGGCCCTGGCACCCTTGGCCGAGGTCCCTCGTGACCCCAAATGTAGAACCAGCCTCACCGCTTGCTTGGGAGGCAGCTGCACCACGCGCTGCACGAGGCCCGGCATTCAGCAGCCTGGGAAGGACTCAACCGCGCAGCTCTGTGGCATCCTGCAGAATAGCATGTGGGCTGCAGGGTAGGCTGGCAGTAGAGCTGGTGCTTAGTCTATGGGCTCAGACCCCAGCGGCAGGGGCAGCAGCAGCAGCAGGAACAGCAAGCATGAGACCCCTTGCGCTTGTACTAGAAGATCCCGGATGTTGGTCTATGTTCTATTTGGTGGTCAATCCATTTACCACAATCAGTTTTCATTGTTTCATTTATATCGACTCTTCAAATTCTTTTACTGTGGCCGTGTATTTCTCATGTTCCTCTTAAGTGTATGTTCAGGAACACTAAGTCCATGTACCTCCCCAGCCAGCTATTTATATACACTTCTAAAAATAAAGTTAGTATGCACAGCATAGAAAGTGGTTTGGGAGCTGGGCACTTGGGGGAGTGGTATGGACGAAGGCCTGGCTGACGCACCCCAAGGGCATGACCTGGGGCTCCTTGGGAGTGCAGCAGCTGGACAGATGGTGGGTGGAGGGATAAATCCGTATCTTCCTCAACTGTGGCAGTGGCACCGTGGCACCTGTGGTGAGAAGCCATCGATGTAAATAGAAGTCTCGCTGTCTGAAATGGGGCTCTGGATGGAAAGCCGTGTTCAAGTAGGAAACTCTGAGGCAGTTTCCGTGTGGGTTTTCCCTGTTAGGCTGTGCTAACGGGGGACCTGGCAGCAGAAGTGGTTTTCTGACAGTTGCAGTCCAAACCCAAATGTCCACAGGCTTGCTGCCTTCTCAGCCTCCCTCCTGTGACCCCTGCGTGTGTCTGTGTACCGCACTCTGCCTCCTCGGAGTCCAGTCCTCCTGGACCAGGGCCACAGTCGTGACCTCACTGTAGCTTGGCTGCTTGGAGAAGGCTGTCTCTAAATATGGCCACATCGTGAGGCGCTGGAGGCCCCAGCCTCAACGCATGGGTTCTGGGAGCAAGGGGGGCATAGTTCAGCCCATAGCAGATCCCACCGCTACTGAGAGTCTTTCAAATCCTCCCCACTTCCAGAAAGAGCAGACGAGGCCAGGCATACCTCCCCCGGGCGTGCGTGCTGCCTGTGCACACGGCTGTGTTGAGGGAGGGACTTCACAGACACAGCCGGCAGTCCCAGAAGCAGAGTGGCCTGCTGTTGCTGAGCCATGGACATTTTCCTTAGAAAGAATAACAAACAGGCAGAATATTTGAAGTCCTCCCCTCTGTCCTAGCAAGTACAGTGATGGCGTTCTCTGGAATTCACTCCTTTCATGACCCTCTTGTACTTTGGGCCTACAAACATCGGCCTGGCTTCCAGATAATCCGCACTGCTTCAAACAAATGTGGGATTCTGAGACAGGCCTTCGCTCTGCAAATACAGGGCAAGGCCATTTCAGTCCAAGGGAAAGGGCTGCTGTGGGCTGAGGAATTTGAAGGAGAGCATTTGAAAGTAGCATTTTGTGGACTGGATTGTAACCCACAGGCAGAGTGCTTGCCTAGCCTGTGTGAAGCCGAGGCCTTGAACTCAACATCCACGACCCCAGAATGGCAGTGCATTTCAGCTGTTGCACAGAGCTGCTATTGTGAAGCAAGTTCTTCGATGCCTGAACATGATAGAGTGGAAAGTCAGTGGGCGCGAGTTCTGAGTATTACCTCAGAGCTGTCCCTGGTAGAGGGAGCTTCCCTGCCAGGGGAGACGAGCAGTCCCTGTGGTGATATCAGAGGTGTTTATGCCCTTTGGGGGCTTTGGCCACTTGGCGATGCACACACGTGAACAGCGACCACTTAGTGTTGACGGTGTTGTGGCGCTTGACAGAGCGATTGCAACATCAGTCTGAAAAGAGGCTGAGCCATAGAACTGCACCAGCTGTATGCCAGCTGTTCATAGTGAAGGCCGAGTCCTCTGGGCTTCTCCTCCTGCTCCCTTCTGAGCTCTGCGTGTGAGCCAGGCACTGTTGCATCAATCAGCAGCAAACCTCCACATGAAGGACTCTTTCTGTAGCAAACCATCGTTCCTTTATAGGAGTAAGATAATAAGAAGGTGTTGGCTCATACATTGGCTACTTAAATACTTATCAGCAAAGAACTTTGATGAAGAATTGTTCAGTGTACACATTTCCGTCTTTCAGATGGAATTTGCCTCTCTAGGTCTATGTAGAAAACCCAAAGGAGCTGTTCTATCTAAAAAGAAAGCCTAGGGAGCTTGGGGGTTACTCAGCTGTTTAAGTGCCTGCTCTGTCAAACCCAGTCAGGTACAGGGGACCACAGTTCGATCCGCAGCTACACATGCCTTACCAGACCCACCTTTCAGGCAGCATGAGCCAGCCAAGGTAGATAGATAGATAGATAGATAGATAGATAGATAGATAGATAGATAGATACATAGATAGATACATAGATAGATACATAGATAGATACATAGATAGATACATAGATAGATGATAGATAGCTTTTCATGCCTTCCTATCACTGGTGGTTTCTTTTGCTGTTATCTAATATTTTCTTATTTTGCATTCAAGCTACAGTCATGTTAGCTTGCTTACTAACTTATACTCATTTAATAATTGTTATTCATTATAAAGATTACAGTGGGGTGAGTACAGTGTACGTTCACATTGTGCAGATATTCAGCAGAACAAATGCCTTTTCGAGAAGAACAGCATGAGTCCAGGCTTACCTGATGCAGCGTGTTATTGTTTCAGGTCTCTGAATTCAACCCCCTGACGTTCACCAGCGTGATTGAGTGTGAGAAGCCCAACAACGACCTGAGCCGGTTCCGTGGCTGCATGTGAGTATCCATGGCTTCCATGCTTGTCGCCGTGTGACAGAACACTCACACACACACACACACACACGAGTTATGAAGTGCGTGTTGCGTACTCTTGGCCACACGGGTGTGTCCTCAGGAGTGCTGCCTGCATCTGAGCCTCTGAGGCTGGGCTGGGCTGGCTCGTAAGGTCCCGCCACTGCAGAGCTCTGGCCGTGGCGTGGCGAGGAGGAGCAATGGCGATTCTTTCTAGAAACCCAGAGAAGGCGAGGCCGTGGCCTTGAGGGATGCGTGGCCATTCACACAGGGCCTCAGTGGGTAGGAGAAGCCAGAGCCAGACAGAGGGGCCACAACGGAAGCTCCCCCGCCTCTTCACTTGGTCACTGGACAAAAGTGTTCATCGAGTATGTAGCGCTGGGCTCTGCTCCCCGCCCTGGACGCAGTTCAGAGAGGAAACACACAAAAATTCTCATTTTTAGGTGTGTGTCACGTTACTTAGAAGAAAAAAAGACAACCCCCTCTCTGCCTAAGAAAATAGGTCCTCTGAGGTGTGTGTGTGTGTGTGTGTGTGTGTGTGTGTGTGCACGTGTTGCACCAGTTTGTTGCACTTAATAGTCCAGTCCCCTTCCTTGCTCCAAGCGTGTGTGAAGCTAAGGCCTTGAATTCAGCACCCGGGACCCCAGAATGGCAGTGCAGTTTCCTTCATGGTGCTGAGCTGCTATTGTCTAGCGAGTCCTTCTATGACTGAACATGATAATAGTAGAAAACCAGTGGGGGCTAGCAGGGGCGGGTTCTGCGGGTTACCTCAGGGTGGTCCTCATGGAAGGAGCACAGAGGTGGGTGCCCGGCCAGGACTGGGCCCTCTGTTGGTGCCGTGGTCCTGACTGAAGCCAGTCGGTGGGATCCTGGGAGGTCCGTCTATACTCTTTCTGCTTTTTCATCTGCTTGGAAATTTCTCTAATAATAATGATAATGCAATTTTTAGCTCATGGTTTTGGCAGCTAAGCATGCACCGCAGTGCAGCTCAGGTGAGGCCCCCTGGCTGTGTGCCTGGTGGTAGGTAGCATCTTGGTGACAGTGTGGGAGAGTTCATTGCCAAGAAGCAGCCAAAACTGGGCTGCAGGTGCAGCAATGACCTCCTCCAACATCAGTGCACCATGGAACCAAATTTTCAGTGCAGGAGCCCTTAGGGGTTGACTTAATTTCTAAACTATGGAATTAAAGGCAGACAGAGGCTGTGGAAACAGTTTTGAAGACCCTCTGCCTAGAGGTCACGCTCACAGTCAAGAAGAGCCAGTCGCATGGGCTAGGGGGAGGGGAGAAAGGAAAGGCATGGGGACAGCAAGCTGAAAAGCTCTAAGCAACTGTCCTCCATACACAGGGACACTCTTACAAAGGCCAGGCAGAGTGGGGACTCTGAGAGGGAGGTCGGAAGCGTGCTGGATTCCTCGGGAGCCTGAGCAAGGTGACAGCCACACAGTTGTAGACCCTGAAGGGACTCCAGGGTGCATGAGATAGGGAGCCTACTGCTCAGCCATGCTTTTTGAAAGGGAGGCTTGAAGGAGAAGAGGACGTGAGGCCGGAGACAAAGGCTTTAGAAAGAGGGGCACTCGTTCGTGAGGTTGCGGGTAACCAGACATCAGTCTGTGGCACCCTCAGGTGTGTGGGAGGCGGGCGTAGTACCCTCAACACATGTGGAGCTGGTGCCTTGGGAAGGCGTGGTGGCTGTGGGGCAGTCCACCCAGCACCCGTGCTCAGCTCCCCTACTTGGGGCCCTCCATCCTGCCTGCAGCCCGAGAGGCCAGTCTCACCTCTCCTGCAGCCCAACACAAAGCGCTCGCAGCAGGGCGTCCTCGCCGGCATGTGGCCTGAGGAAGAAGCTCCACCGAGGTCCTGTGCTCTGCTCCCACCACCACAGTCGCACTCCCTTCCCGACTTCCCCTGCGGCTGTCCCATCCCGCCGGACCCCAGAGCCAGGCCAGGAACAGCTCAGTGACGCCCAGCTCAAGCCTCTGCCTGTGCAGCCCCTGTGTAACTGGTGTGCTATGCCCACTAGGTGAGGTGTTTGGGTTTTCCACAGGACCACCAGGGAGCGGGTGGGCGCCGCACCAGCCGTAACAGCCTGGGTGGGATCTGGAGGTGGACTGAGGTCGCAATGCCGTGAATGCTTTTCCTAGGACTCTGGATGCCTTACGCCCAACTCCAAGAGTGCACATGGGGACACGTGTGCAGGAAGCAGAGCTGGGCAGCCCACGGGGAGCACTTCTTCCAGACCTCCCTAGGCTGCTCTCCTTTCAGCGTCCAGGGACAGCAGCCTCATCCGTGCCAAGGAGCCTGTCAGCAGGTGTTGCTCTGCTGTAGAGAGACCAAGCTAGACCCAAAGCCTCCGACATTTGCATCAGAGCAGAACTAATCTTGGGTTTATAGGAGGAAGACCAAATCTCAATTACATTGTCCTTGTTGCCGGGGCAGCTGGCCCTAGGAAAGCTGTCCTGCACTTCTGAGCTCCAGGGATCTAATGCTAGGGCTACTTGGCTGCCCTGTCAGCTCCACAAGCCAACCAGAGAATCCTGTGAAGAATTCAAGGGAAGAACCACAGGGCTGAGTTCAGGGCACACAGGATGTGGCCCTCGTGTGTGGTCCACTGATACAAGAGGCAGACGGACCAGAGGCTCCTGGGCTCCAGGGGAGGGCAGAGTGAGCAGGAAGCGGGAGCAAGTAGCAGTGGCTGCTTGGGCAGGCAGTGTCCTCAGATTAAGTGGTGGTGTCAGCTGCACAACCTGGATGCACACAAACGACAGCGCACCGTGTGGTTCTGATGCGTACATGTCATGGTATAGGAGATCTCTCTTAAACTACTCTCAGACAACGTTAGAAGCTGCACTCAAGTGCACTTTAAAGCTCAGTGTCCTTTAAGACACCCTCCACTGTTAGGGCTGTGCCTCGATGTCCCCCAAAGCCTCTTATCATCCTGGGTGAGGCTTTTTCACCCAGAGGGTGGGACTGCTTCATAGTACAATGCTAGGACTAAGGGTGCTAGGTAAAAAGGTGGTTGATTCCTGAATTAACTCACTGATTGGTTTGGTACTGCCCTAAGCCCATAGCCCAGATAGAATAGAAAAGGAGAGAAAGAAGCTGCTGAATTCAGTAGAGGAGACGCCGCTGTGCTTGCCACCATCCCGGGGCTTTCTGGCTCTTTTCTCTTCACCTTAAATTCAGGTGTCTTTTATGAATAACCAAAAGCAGCAAAAAGCAACGCTATCAGGCCAGTGTTTTAAAACCAGAAAAAGAGCGATTTGACCCTACTCAGTTTCAAGACTGTATAATTCAAGGCTTCACTGAAACCGGTACTGATTTGGAAGCAGCAGCCGTTTCTGGATGCTTCTGGAGTGAAGCTTGACTACCGCCGATATGCAGAAACCCTCTTTGATATCCTAGTTGCTGGTGGGATGCTGGCCCCAGGTGGCACCCTGGCTGATGACATGATGCGTACGACATCTGCGTGTTCACAGCACAGGAAGACCTGGAGACCACGCAGGCGTTTGTACAAGTTTTTAACAAGCTAATGAGGTGCTACAAATATCTGGAGAAAGATTTTGAAGATGAGGCGAAAAAGCTGCTGCTGTTCTTAAAAGGTTTCTCAGAGTCGGAGAGGAAGAAGCTGGCCATGCTGACTGGTGTGCTCCTGGCCAACGGGGAGCTCAACGCTTCCATCCTCAACCGCCTCTACAGTGAGAATCTGGTGAAAGAAGGGGTTCTGCAGCATTTGCAGTGAAGCTCCTCATTTCCTGCATCAATGAGGACATCAATGCGGTGGCTGCGAGCCTTTGGAAAGTCAGCGTGGATAACAGGCTGATGGAACTTTTTCTTGACAATAAGCAGAGTGTGGAACACGTCAAGAAGTACTTCACGGAGGTGGGCCTGAAGGAGCTCTCTGAGTATGTCTGGAACCAGCAGAGACCATCGGTGCCCTGAAGGAGCTCCAGGAACAGATGTACCATGGTGACCCATTCAAGGACGAAATTTTGTATGTCAAGGAGAAGAGGAAAAGAACAACATCCCAGAACCAGTTGTCATTGGGATCATCTGATCCAGTGTGATGCGCCCTGTGGAGTGGAACGAGGAGGAGCTCGTAGCGGAGCAGGCCATCAAGCGCTTGAAGCAACACAGCCCTCTCCTCGCTGCCTTCACAGGCAAGGTCAGCCGAGCTGACTCTGTTGCTGAAGATTCAGGAGTATGGCTATGACAACGTTCACTACATGAAAGCCTTCCAGAAAACAGTGGTGCTTTTCTGTAAGGCTGAAGTCCTGCGTGAAGAGCCCATCCTGAAGTGGCACAAGGATGCACACGTGGCCAAGGGGAAGAGCTCGTCTTCCTGGAGCAGATGAAGAGGTTCGTGGAGTGGCTCAAGAACGCGGAGGACGAGTCTGAGTCCGACGCTGAAGGTGGACACTGAGTTCCGAGCCTGCATCCTCAGGAAAGCGAGCAGGGTGTAGCTGAATGTGTCTCGTGTGTCCTGGTTCATACATCTTCCTACCTCCCCATAACGCGCACGATAGAGAAAGGCTTTCGTGGCAGATTTCATTTTTCCTGTTTCTATGGTTACTGGAGATGCTGAGTTTAGTTCCTAAAACCATGTTCTAAGTATTACAGGGCTATAGATTTGAATCTAATGTTGCATTAGTCTTTTCAGTTCCCTTCTACCTCTTGTATTTTCTACTATAATAATGTAATTTAAGGCCTTCCACAATGAACGGTTCACACTATTCCCTGGGTTTTCTATATATAAACAATTTTCAAGGTATGATTTTGTTAAAAATAATTTGTTATTGGGGCCAGGGAGATGGTTCAGTGGAATAAGCGCTTCCTTGGCAAGCACAAGGGCCTGAGTTCAATCCCCGGTTCTGCCAAAAAAATAAAAAATAAATAAATAAATAATAATAATAATAATAATAATAATAATTTGTTATAAAGATTCTGTTTGCAAATTAAACTGTAAAAGTATCCAAATTCTCAGAAAA